TCTTCCATCAATGGTGTCAACTCAGGTATGACTTTAAACTGACATATTGACATTTTAACTACTTAACGATCATGTAAACAGAATTTTAAACTACGTATAATATAAATCACAAATGCATAATACTTACCTGAGGATCGTCGAGGAGGGCCGATAACTGTTTCCCAGTGGAACATCCCTTCGCTCGCGATGATCTCCAATGATGCATCCGAGGGCAGCGTGTCTCCCCTCGCTGCGCAAAGCGGGCCCCCAGTACAGGGACTGTCTCATACACCCAAATCTGTAACACATACACTTATTATGCACAAATGTAATATACTAAAACTTTAACTTTGATTATATTAAACATTTACCTGCACCGCTAAGAGCAATCCATAAGTATCGTATTTACGCATCAACCCCCTGGGCCTCGAGTGTGCTCTGGTGAAGACATGTACAGTGTCTTCGTAGTATCTTCGGCCCTCTGAATAATTGTTGAACGCATCGATATTGTCAACAACTTACAAATAAAAAATGTCGATGACAGTCTTCTCGTGATGACACCTCATACACTCTCGAGGATGTAGACCAGCCCAAGTTTCAATCTATCTAGCATCTGGTCGCACCCCCTGATCGCGACCATCAAGTCGGGTAGAAGCACCGACCCATGTTCCTGAAAGTACGTCTCGTACAACCTATTGCTTTTCTCAATGGCTGTATTGTCGCCTGTAATCCTTAGTCCAGTGATCAATGTAAACTCAAACGTCGAGAAATTGACGACCTTGCCCCCGAGGTTGAACTGGAGGGAATCGCCGTCAACCGGCCCCAGAAGCCGACATAGAAGTGCATCGATGATCTATCCTGAGTATTGCACCTCTTGCAACTGGTACAGTGGCCACAAGAAGGACTGTCGTAGCATATCTTTGTGCTGATCATCGAGCAGCTCCAACATAGTAGTAAAACTCTCAAAGCTACTGTTCCAAGTAGCCTTCCCCGCCATCCATCTCAACTCCCCACTTAAATGATACTCCATCCTGGAAAAATTCAAATGTTAGAGCATTGAGCAAGAGATAACAAAATAAAGCATAATCTCACAAAATCAAGGAAATCGAATTCTAACTACCATACAATACGCATTAAAATAAATTAGTTATAAAGAAAATTAATCACAAATATTACATTTGAAAAATATTTTTAAAAAAAATCAAATTAAGTACATTTTCAAAAAAATTAAAGAATATAAATATTATTTAAATAAATTAGAAAAAAATTAAAGGTAAAAATAAAAGAACAATAAAAGGAATAAATTAAATTGTTAATTTCGGACAACATTATCTATTCATTATTAAATTATATAAAAAAAGACAATTATAAGAATTACATAAATAAATAACATCATTATTATTTAATCAAATTAAAATAAATTAATTATAAAGAAAATTAATCTTGTAATCATTTGGAAAATATATTTACAAATAAAAAATTCCAAATTAAATATTTTTAAAAAAATGTAAAAAATATTTATATTATTTAAATAAATTTGAAAAAAAATTAAAGATTATTTCATAAAAAAAAGGGAACAATACAAAATTGTTAATTTTAGATAATATTCAATTATTTATATTAAATAAAAGACAATTATAAAAATTAAATAAATAAATAACATAATTTAGTTTTAATGAAATAAAAAATTAAATTAATTACAAAAATTATAAAAAAATAAAAATTAATAAATATTTTCCAAAAAAAATTGCAGGCTGTTTAGCAGTCATGGGCCGACTGTAAATAGCCGGCCCAAGACTGTTAAACAGTCATGACAGTTGGCCCATTGACTGTTAAACAGTCATGGGTCGACTGTTAATAGTCAACCCGACTGTTAATCGACTGTTTTTTTACCGTCTTTCACTAAATTCGTCGGAAATTGCCATTGCCGACGTCATAGAGGTCCAAAAATTACAAAAAAAATCACATTTTTCACCCCAGCATGCCCACAATCTAACTACTCATACTCATAAGATCTAATTAAACCCATTAAATGTCATATTATTCAATAAATTAACTGGAACAAAAAATTTAATATTATTCCATTTTGACAAAAATCTGCGAGAAAACTAACTAGTATCTTTCTTTCCGGTGTAGATCGTGCTTCTGGTCGGCGATTTAACTCACTACGACGTTGATGTAGTTGGCCGGTGGTTGGTCGGTCAATTTTCAGGCAACTGTGCGACGGTTTGTTTCTTGGTCGGTCGGTTAGAGAGTTTTTGTTTGACAGTCACAGTGTTGAAGGGTAAAATCGTTCTTTTAGTGTAAAGTTTTTTTTAACTTAATTTTTTTAATTCATTTATTGGGTCAAATGCCAATGTCAAAATTTGCTAGAGCCATTTTCGTATATTTCCTCTGCAAGAACTGGAATTACATTGGAAGAATTGAGAACAGGGACGTATTGGAGGATGCTTTTTGAGAACTTCTCCTTCTTAGGAGAAATCATACATATATGTTTGTGGGATTCGAGAAGTTATTTTGATTATTTTTCCTGTGGGTTTAATTCATTAATCATTTATCCTAATCAAGATTGGGAGAAAGAGGTGCACCATAAGGAGGATAATGTATATACTGTGCGTGATTCAGAAGTGGTCAAGGAGGATTGCTACCATGTCGCCATGGTCAGTGATTCCACTGATTGCGCTTTGGGCTCTATCGCAGTTGTTGCCCCCTTTTTCCGTTTTGAAATCGCATCTCCAAGGCTGGCGCACGTGTTCGTGCTGTTAGTAACCCTTTTTTGGTACGAGATTTTGATGCCTAGGTTGTTTGCCTGGCGGGTCTGGTGGAATGCTAGGCTTAAGGAGAGGAAGAGGCTTGAGGCTATTGAAATTCAGAAGCTGAGAAAGGATGCTCTCCGAAGGTGTTGGAATTGCTTGACTGTATACCGGGATCAGAATCCTCGTGGGGGCAAGTTTACGTGCTCATATTGTGGGCATATTTCAAAGCGGCTAGTTCTCTTGATTTGGGGAGTTATGGTATTTTGAAGTATTTAGACGGGAAAGGTGGCACGTCGTTCAACGAAAAGGTTTGGTCAGAATTAGAGAGCTATTTTTGGGTCGAGGCACAAAAGAAAGGTGATAAAGCAGCTCATTGAGACTTTGCGAAATATTAAAGACAAGGTTTTCAATCGTCTTGCTGAACCTACTGAAGACTGCAAGCCCTCGTCTTCTACGAAGGAGAGCAAACCCTCTACAGAAGAAAGGAACACCGGTATCGTGGACGTAGTGGAGTTCATTATACATACATCTCCATGATGCGATGTTTGGCAATGTAAGTATAATGAATTGCACATATTACTGAAACTGCGCATATTAATAAAAATATAGATTCAAACTGCACATATTCATGAAAATGTTTACCTATATCACTGTTAAATAATGTTACATTGGAATTGAGGGGGTCTATATTCTAAAGCAGATTTTAGTTTTATGGTTTGATGTCACCTATTCTCGGTGGTTCATGTAGAAGATTGCAGCCATTGTTTTAATTTTCTTGCATCTGCATTGGAATACAAGCTTGCATTTTCGCTTTTTGAAAATCCCTTTATTTCATGATTGCACTTGAAAAGCAAGTCTCTACTTGACTGTTTGAGGTTGTAGTATGCTAGTAAACCCAATTCTCATTTGACTTATTGGATAGCTGTCTAAAGATTGACACTATGAGCATGCTTGGTGAAGCTTAAAAAATTTATTTATTTTAAATAAGTGTTAATATATTATTTATTGGTCAAAGTTATAAGTAAATTGCTTATTTTGAAAATACTGTGTAATAGTTTTAAAATAAGTAACTTTTCTACTTATCCATGTTATTCTCTAGTAAGCTATGATTGATCTCTGTCTCTAGCAACATGAAGCTTAGGATGTTTTCGTTTGATGTACGTGTAACGGTGTAAATCAACCGTTTACAACTTCTTGCAAGAGTAGTAGAGTTCTAAATAATATGGGAAATGACAAAACAATTTATTATGCTTGCCTTTTTTTCAGATGGGTCCAACTGAAACCAAGAGATTTTGCAAGGCATTTTTACAAGTTTATAGTAATCTTGTGAGTTTACTAAATCGATACATTTCTTTGCTTAGTAAGCAGCCATTATCCTTCTTGCTATGATCCAGGTGTATGAAGAACTTACATTAGATGCTGCTTGGAAATTCATAAACTCTTCAGGATAATAGTTGCTTTGTGCCAATACTTTTATGCATGTAGCGCCTGAACTTGTTTTGAACCATGAAGTAGTGGTTTTGAGTTAGCGTAATCATTTTGAAATCTTTAGACAACTATCCAATAAGTCAAATCAGAATTGGGTTCACTAGCATACTGCAACCTCAAACAGTCAAGTAGAGACTTGCTTTTCAAGTGCAATCATGAAATAAAGGGATTTTCAGAAAGCGAAAATGCAAGCTTGTATTCCAATGCAGATGCAAGAAAATTAAAACAATGGCCGCAATCTTCTACATGAACCACCAAGAATAGGTGACATCAAACCATAAAACTAAAATCAGTTTCAGAATATAGACCCCCTCAATTCCAATGTAACATTATTTAACAGTGATATAGATAAACATTTTCATGAATATGTGCAGTTTGAACCTATATTTTTAGTAATATGCGCATTTTCAGTAATATGTGCAATTCATTATACATACATTGCCAAACATCGCATCATGGAGATGTATGTATAATGAACTCCACTACATCCGCGAAACTGGTGTTTCTTTCTTCTGTAGAGGGTTTGCTCTCCTCCATAGAAGACGAGGGCTTGCAGTCTACAGAAAGTTCAGTAGGACGATTGAAAACCTTATCTTTAATATTTCGCAATGTCTCAATGAGCTGCTTTATCACCTTTCGTTCAAATCTAAATTAATTTGGATTGTTAATGATGGGTTGGTAGATTAGTGGATTGCTTAAGAGAAGACTACTCAACCAAGTTCTCAAAAATTCATATTAAATTGTTTATCAATTGTTAATGATGACAGACATTCTCCATTCCCCCCACCAATCGCTTCACCTTTTATTGCGAAAAAGAAAGAGATGCACTGTGTACTAAGTTCAAGACAACGGTTAATATAAAGTCTGATTTTTATGTTTTTTAAGAATTAAGCACTGGGATATTTATTGACCGGAGCCTGTATGCAAGTTTGATTGTTTTGAGTGGAAGGGTCCTAATGGTCTAATAGAGCATTATTAGGAATTTGAACCAATGAAAAGCTGCTTACCTTGGCCAATGATTTTATAACAGGTTAATCTTTATTCATTAGTTCCAATGCTTAAACAGTACCAAAACTCAAATCTTATTGGCTTCAAGGATCTACTTTTTGAGCACTAGACTTTGTTGTCAATTTTCAGTCAATCGGAATTACTATCTCGGTTTAGTGCTATTTTTGTTGGCAATTTTCCTTGAGGCCACACAATTCCCTTAATTCTCTGCTTGCGGAGTTCTTGAACTAAAGTCGCGAATACAATCAAAGAATCGCGTTCCATGTACAAAGTCGTGTTGAACTTGCCCAAGCATAATTTGCAGCAAACCTGTGCATTTTTCTTCGCTCTGACAACAATGGATTTTCCATTTTTTCTGCTATAAACCGTCTTGCAATCTACATAGAAATCAGTAATCTACGTACTAATTAGCAGGAAAATTTGTAATAAGAAAAAAGTGGATAGACCTGGATCCGGAAAACAAAAATGGTGGCTGCGTCTGGAATTAATGCCTTCGCCAAAGAGATAGCCATTCGCAAACGCATTGCCAACATGTATGTTTTTTCTTTTTAATATACAAATATTTTACTTATTTATGTTTTTATGTGAAATACAAAAATGGGTTTTGGGCTTTTGTTGTGCTTTTAATTGATCATAAAACCTATGCAACTTTTGTTCCTTTTTAGGGGTTTTTCATTATTTTGTATAAAGGTGGAAATTTATTGGATTGTTTATTTTGTTAGGCAACTGGAATTACTTATGCATAGTGAATAATAATAATAATTATTATTATTTTTAGGTTTTGCAAGTGATAATTAGAATTTTATTTTTATTTTGGAATATGTAGTGAAGTTGCCTTTCTTAAATTTCTAAGAAGGTATTGATCTAATGATGAAAGGGAAAAAAGAATATTTCTAAGAAGGTATTGATCTAATGATGAAATTCAATTTTTAGGTTTTGGAGGTTTTTCTTCCAAATTTTGCATATGTTTAAGAGTAAAATTCTCCCTCAATTTGGAGATTTTTTATGAAATCATATTGAGATGCAAACTTGTGGTTTATATAGTTGGTAACTAGAGCTCAGCTGGCATTTAGAAGACGGAAGGTATTGCTATTTGTATGAATCCTGGGGAAAACTGTGTACATGAGAAAATGTGTTTATGAAGTCACGTCTTTTTAGTAACTGATTTTTGATTTCCGTTTGCAACTTTGAGAATGCTCTTCCACTCAGCTCCATCAGATCATGAAGTCTGACTTTTGTCACTACTTGATGGTTTGGTCTTGCAATAAAGCTCCCTTCTTTTTTAAGATATTAAAATAATGACTGCATGATCTGAACTATTTAAAATCGATGAGAGATTAACTTCATGTTCCGTTGTTCATTGAAATTACTATTTTTCTCATTTCTTTGTTTGAAAGTTATGGTTGTGTTATTGATGTAGAATCAATTAAGAAGGAGAATTAGGCAGCACAGAAGAAGGGAAAGGCAGAGAGGAAGAATGAAGAGAAGAGGAGAGGGGAAAGTGGGGGAGAGGGGAGAGACGTGAACAACCAACCAACCAAAATATCTTTCATTCATCAAATAATTTTTCAATCCAATTACAACCATATAAATAACAAAATTATAAACGTGGGCTTGGCCAAACCCATATACAAGCCCAATAAAACATAATGCCTAAAAATAAATGGAAGGTAAAATGGTCTAAACACATGTATGGGTTTGGCCCAAGCCCACGTTTATTATTTTGTTATTTATATGGTTAAAATTGGATTGAAAAATTAGTTGATGAGTGAAAGATTTTTGGTTGGTTGTTGTTCACGTCTCTCCCTTCTCCTCTTCTCATCATCTTCTTCTTCCTCTCTACCTTTCCCTTCTTCTGTGCTGCCTGATTCTCCTTCTTAATTGATTCTACATCAGTTATGTTACCTTGGAATGTATGCTAACCACCACGCCTCCTAATGTGATGGCAGTTGTGTAATAGAGAGTGATCATAATTAAAATAATTATTTTCCTCTACCTTTCTTGTTTGATTTTCCTTTTGAGCTGACCTATTCTGTGGTTTCGCAGGTATAATGAAAGAGAAGAGGATTTTGCATCATTGAGGGAATACAATGATTACTTGGAAGAAGTAGAGGATATGAGTACGTTTATCTGTTGTGCACGTGATATAGTATACATTACACAGAGTATTGTGTTCGATAATTGTGTTTGCTTGCAGTTTTTAATTTAATTGAAGGAGTAGACGTTCCTGCCATTGAAGCAAAGATTGCTGAGTACCAGAGAGAAAATGCTGAACAAATCATGAATGCTCATGCTCGCAAAGTTTCACAAATTTGTCTTTGCATAACATTATACTCCAACAATAGTTAGTTCGATCTGAATGCTATATGATATATGTTTGTTTCTTTGATCAAATAGGCTGACGAATATGCAGCAGCTCTGGCAGCAAGCAAGGGACAACCTGCACAGACGGGTGTTGATTTGGTGAGTTTATCTTATGGATTTCAAATCTTTCGGCATTTTAATCGTTGATTTACTCTTTTACTTGAATCTAAATGTTTATGCAATGCTTATGTTTACCTTTTCTCAGTTGGTATCGAGTTACAGAATTTTTTATCACCATTGATTCTCTCTCTGTACTTTATTTCTTTTAGTTTTAGTACTATCAACAGTTATGTGGTTATCTATTTGGCTCTTCTTATATCATGAGCGAAGTTGCAACAAAAGAATTTTTCTATGTTGTTCTGATGCCAGCTGAAAATTCAGCAGTTTGTGAGGTCATACTTAAGTGTCTATGATCCTGGAGTACAGCTCTGGTCAATCTGTCACCTGAACATCCTAAAAAACCTAAAAGCTTAGTCCTGTAACGTTTGGAGAATAACCCCTTATCGAAGGGCTTAGTTATTCTAACGGTGCACTTAAAATTTAAACCACTTCTTTGGAAGGATGTTCTTGCTCCACTCCCTTCTTTGACCCCATCCACTCATCTGGTGATCCCTTGCTTCACATTCAGGTGTTTGCTCATTCTTTAGACCTGAGAATGAGATTTCGGCTCATTGCAGTCAGCTCTGGGGTTCTTTACACCAGGATATCACAAGGCCGATGTGCGTCAGCCCTACGAATTCAACAAAAAAGGAAATTGGTATATGCTTCCCATTTAAGCCAAGTCTCACACACATGTCAACCATTATATGTTCACGAATTCAATAATGCTTATCACTCTTTGATTATTCCATTATACAGGATAAGTGCTAACAATCAAGAGGGGAGTGTTTCCTACTCTTTTTTCTAATTAATTTTTCTTCATTCTTTCTATTTGCCCTTCCTTCCCTTCTTTTTTAGTTTTTTGGGGAGTTTTAACATTATCAGAATTAGGTTTATGATGCTAAATCCTAGTTGCTGAAGAAAGGTTTTTTGTGGAACCTATCCTGTCATTTATTTTTGCTGATAGTCTTCTTTAAATGACACGGGGACTTGTACTGCTGCATATGTGATGCAAACTCACAACACTTCGATGTTCATTAATTAAAATCTCTTTTTTCATATATTAAATCTCAAGCCAGTTGTAGAGATTTGGAAGACTTCTCAAATTATTATTCCGTAAATTCAAACTGAAGGTGAGGAGCTGAAGAATTATGATATATTTAAGTATATTAGCTCAATGATTTAACAGGGTGTATAACCTTTAACTGTTTGGTTTTGCACTCGCATATGGGTTTTTCATGTTTACCCTTTTTCTCCGGGTTTCCAGTGTAAGCACGTTTGTAAATAGCTTTAACTTCAATGCAGTCTTCAATCTCTCAAGAAGGGACCGGAACTAGTGCTTAGGGACAATATGGCCCGGCTATAGCTGGGACTGTGCAGCCACGTCCAACAGGCACGGCCCCTCAACCCAGCCCAGTTGGGTCGGGTCATGACATGCTAGGACTTTAAAGTGTTGATGAAGAAAAAATGAAACTCCGAGCTGAAAAGGCTGCAAAGGCAGGAGGGTGGAGTACAGAAATAAGCAAGAAATGGGCACTCGAAGAAGCATTTGCAAGCATTTGGATATGATGTTTCCTTTCTATTATCAACTAGCTTTTAAATTGTGTCAAGTCTTGCTAAAGAAAAGCTTTGGTTTGTCTGAACTTTGGAAGAATTATGATGAATTGAGTGGAGAGTATCTGTTGGATTCTTCGGTATTCCACGTTTCTGAAAAATGCCCAAGTGAAGCAGCATTTGCCATTTATAGTGAATTTTTAGTAGTTTGAACTATGATTTGATTTTTGAAATTTTTTAGCTGTTTTTGGTTGTATAGAGAGGCTGATAGGCTCCTATCCACCCGCACCCATTCTAGAAGGCTCCAAAAGAAGAAAAAACGTGCAAGTGGGTGGAAATACCAGAATCTTTAGAGAGGAGGGAAGGGTTTGTTAGAAGTTGGCTATAAATATAGGTAGAAATTAGCCATATGGGAGAGGATGGAGAGAGTATTAGAGTGGTTACTGTTCTTGTTCTCAGCTACAGCCTTCTATAGGCTTTTGTTATCATTTCAATTCCTATAATTGTTTTTATTTCAATAAAATGTCCCTTATTTAGCATTTGATCTTGTTCATTCCAGTCGGTATCTTATCAATTGATATCAGAGCGATCGATTCTGGGACTAAGGGAAACTATTCAGCAGCAGAGAATCAAAAGAGAGTTTGAGCTTGATAAGGAGTGAATCGGAGAAGATGGTGATGCAACAGAAAGAAAGTCGAGCCGTTGATTCAGGGTTGGATTCATGTAGCCGATTCAACACACAGATATTCTATGGGGATAAGTTAGATTTGTGGCTGTTTGAGGCAGAGCAATGCATAAACATGAATCGAAACTTACTGGAGAGGGAGAAGGTAGAAGCCGCAGTCGCTTGCTTCCTTGGAGAGGCTTGGGCATGGTTTCAAGAGATAGACTACTACTTTCCGATACAAACCTGGGAAGAATTGAAGGCGTTGACGTTGACTCGATTCCATGAGGAGCAAATCTCCATTGTTGAAGAAATTCCAGAAGGTAAGCCGGGGAGGGTGGTTAACTGGATGACAGCACTTTGGGAGACAAAGAATGAACGGCCACCACCGTCGGAAGAAGAGGAGAAGTATGAGTTTCGATTTTCAAAATTTCCACTGGCGCTAGAAGGAGGGAAGACTAGTGTGACGGGGGTTCAATTACTTCCTAAGGTTCACAAGGGGCCCATGGGAGAAGAGCAGGACATGCCAGTTGTGGAGGAAGGAAACAGAAAAGTGAAAGGAGGACTGGGCGAACAATGGCGACCAAAGTACCGAAATCGACAACTAGAGAGCCCTGCACTTGAAGAGGAATACCGCTAGTAGTCTGAGGCATGGGTAATTCCCTTGACGAACATTTTAGTTGCTATAATGGAAGAGCAACTGGTTAAGCCGACTCCAGAGAAGATGATGGAAGAAAAATGGGTGAAGATAGTGGGTTTGGATTATAGTAAAGAGGTGGCCCAATAAGGAAATTGCAAAATTTCATTTAATCAAACCCAAGACGTAATGGGCCTATATGGAGTAAGGATAAATGGCCCAACTACTATTTACACCCATAAAAACCAATTGATTTCTCTAGATTCAAGCACTAATCTGCTGCAACTAGGAAACTGACTTTACCACCAGTGGAGGGAGAAGAATACAAATGAGCATCACACTGAAAAGGCACCCAGATTTCTGGAAGTGTTTCGGAGATTTTGAAAACACTGTTGTAGATCCCATTGCCCTGAAGACAATGAAAGTGAAAAAACGAATGGACCAGCTAGGAGTCGTGATGTCCATTTGTCTAATTGGTTATGGGATCTTAATGGGTACTATACTCGTAGTTTTTAGAACGGGCGAGATGAACATATCAGTGAGAGAAACATTGGATGAGTTGATGACTCGATGGGAGAACCATGGACGTGAAGATGAAGGATTGGCAGTAGCAACACCGGAGCAATCCATTAATTCCGTAGACAGAAAAAATCATGATTTAAACAGACTACAGGGAGGAGAATCGAAGAAATGGCTGCTAGATAAATTTTCCCCCTCTCTAGGGACGGTCAAAGATAAAATACCCAAGAACCAATCCCAGGTTCTAGAATTGCCACTGAGGAAGTATTTGGACTCCAAAATTGGTAAATGAAGACATGGGGATGGTTAAGCGAATTGGGCTAACCCGAACTTGGGAGCAATTCCGGCGACAATTGTTTCTTCATTCCCGTCAAACTCAAGAGGGAAGTCTGTACGGAAAGTTTATGGATATACGACAAACAAGTTACATGGATGAGTTCTGGAGATATTTTGAAGCTACACTAGTAGTGGGTATTCGGGAAGAGGTCATGGGAAGCAGATTTATTGGGCTGAGCTCTAAAATGAAGGAGGCCAAACTAACTGAGGATAGAAATCAAATAGCTGAATTACCACCTGGAGAAGCTTTGATGTGGTATCAATGTGATAAACCCCCTGTGAATTTCACCTATCAGCAACGTCACAAGAAGGGCGTGTAGAGGAAGTTTGAGGGAATATTCTAGAAATGTTAAAGTTGTTACAAGAGGTCAGTTGGTATATATAAATAGTGAAGGATAGATAGGGGATATTCATTCAGAAAACTAGCAATCTAAGTCCGATAGGAGAGGAAGCAGCTCTCGAAACCTGCTTGTTAATTTCTCTTCTCTTTCGATCTTAGAGTCTGTAATTCTCAGTTTTAATAAAAGTTCCTATTAATTCCATTATTGTGTGAGTCGACTTATCAGTTAATCGAGCATTATTTCACCTGGGCAATTCGGATTCAGCAGGTTCTATCAAATTGGTATCAGAGCGTGTGACATTCTGGGAAGCGGATGTCGACGACAAGGATGGATAATCGAATTGAAATGCTGGAAAACGCAGTGGCTCAGATTCAACCCTTGGGTACCTCGGTAATCGCATTGAAAGGGGACTTGGAACATTTAAATGCGAGATTGGGGATGGAGTTGAGCAAAATGAATGAGAGGTTGAAGGTCAGTCTCGCCTTGGGAAGGAAGGAGCTGAACGAAGGCCTTCAAGCAATAGCGAAGATGTTCAAGGGAGCATCCCCAGAATCCTTTGTGATGACAGGGGAAGGAAGTAGAATGAAATCCACCGGTCTTAGGGAGGAAGTTATGGAATTAGAAGTTACATTACCCGAGAAGGAGGTTGCTCCAGCGGCTGAAGGAACTTACTGTAAACTAGAGCTACCCCTATTTAATGGGGTTGACCCGGACTCATGGATATTCAGAGCTGAAAGGTACTTTGGCATGAACAAGTTGACTGATGCTGAACGTGCGGTGGCAGCTGGGATATGCATGGAAGGAAGTGCTTTGTCTTGGTTTCAGTGGGAAGATGGGAGGCGTCCCATTCGAAGCTGGGTAGAACTAAAACAGAGGTTATTGGAGAGATTTCGAGATACCCAATATGGGACTCTACATCAGTGATTTCTGGCGATCAGACAGACCGGGACAGTGGCCGAATATCGAGAAAAATTTGAGGTAATGTCGGCACCCTTGAAGAATGTAAACGAGGAGACCTTAGAGGGGGTCTTCATAAATGGGCTGGAAGAAGAAGTGCAGGCAGAGGTATTGATGGCAAAGCCGGTGGGACTTTCACAGATCATGGATATGGCACAGAGGGTGGAGGATAGGAATAATCGAATTAACAAAGCAAAGGACAAGGAACGACCGAGAAACAAGGGGGTGATTATTCCAAACACAGCAAGGGTTGAGCAACGGACTGTACCTTGGCATCTAAACAAGGGACTGGAAGGGCAGGAAAAAAGGGGCAACCCTTTAGCAAACACCACTATGGGGTTTAGAAAATTGTCACGGGCTGAGATTCAAACAAAGAAGGAAAAAGGATTATGTTTCCGATGCGATGAGAAATTCCAACCGGGGCACAAATGTCGCAACAAGGAGTTTCAGGTGTTGCTGGTTGACGAGGAAGAGGAGAGGGAATTGGAGCGGCTAGAAGAGATCATAGATTGTAGTGAATTGGAAGGGGTTGAGCTATCAATGAACTCTGTCGTCGGGTTAACATCACCCAAGACCATGAAGGTTAAGGGTAAAGTGGAAGGGGAGGACGTAGTAGTGCTAATTGACTCCGGGGCAACGCACAATTTTATTTCCTGGGAATTAATCAGGAAGCTCAACCTGCCAATAACGGAGACCAATGGATACCAGGTGCAAGTGGGCACCGGTATAGCTGTTAAGGGAAAGGGAAAATGTCAAGGAGTGGTTTTTTATATGCAATTCGTGCTGGTGGTAGAAGATTATTTGCCCATAGAGCTGGGCAGCTCCGACATGATTTTGGGAATGCAGTGGCTTAGTACTTTAGGCACGGTTCAGGTTAACTGGAAGTTGTTGGAGATGAAAATACCTATGGGGGGTAACGCGGTTACCTTAAAAGGAGAAGAAGGGCCAAGTAAATCCCTGGTTTCGTTAAAATCCATGATCAAAACTCTGCAACAGGAAGGAGAGGGAATGGTAGTGGAGTTGTGTTCAGTGCAAGTAGATGGACAACACTCTAAGGTAGATATTCCACAGCCAATTCAGGAGTTGATTACAGAAATACAGCGCCATTTTTGAGTCACCAACAGGTTTACCGCCCTTGCGAGGTTATGAACATGCTATTACGTTAAGGGCAGAAAGTGAACCTATCAGTGTTCGACCCGACAGATATCCCCACGCACAGAAGGCAGAGATTGAGAGACTGGTGACAGAAATGTTGGAGGCAGGTATAATCCAAACAAGTAGTAGCCCCTTCTCCAGCCCAGTATTGCTCGTGAAAAAAAAAGATGGTGGATGGAGATTTTGCGTGGATTACCGAGCCACTATCCTTGACGGTTTCCCTATTCCGGTCATTGATGAATTACTAGATGAGCTGCATGGTGCCACCATCTTCTCCAAGCTGGACTTGAAATCAGGTTACCACCAAATACGTCTTAAGGCAGGTGATGAATACAAATCAGCCTTTCGGACTCATGAAGGGCATTATGAATTTTTAGTAATGCCTTTTGGGCTTACAAATGCCCCGGCAACTTTTCAATCCCTGATGAATAAAGTGTTCAAGGGGTTGTTAAGGAAAGGTGTATTGGTTTTCTTTGATGACATACTAGTTTATAGCCGGAATCTGGAGGAGCATTGTAGTCATCTAAGAATGGTATTTGGGATATTGAAGGAGCAGAAGTTGTATGCAAACCGCAAGAAGTGCGAGTTTGGTTGAGACACTCTGGAATACTTGGGGCATTTGATCAGTGCGCAAGGAGTCGCAGCCGACCCCAAAAAGATTCAAGCAATGCAGTCTTGGCCGGTGCCTAAGGACCTTAAGGCATTAAGAGGGTTCCTAGGCTTAACCGGGTATTATAGAAAGTTCGTGGAAGGGTATGGAAAGTTGGCCGAACCTCTCACTAGACAATTAAAGAAGGAAAGTTTTTCGTGGGATCATGAAGCAGATTTAGCATTTCTAGCATTAAAGGAAGCCATGATGAAGGTGCTGGTTTTGGCTCTGCCCAACTTCTCTACTCCATTTGTAGTTGAAACGGATGCTTTTGGAGTGGGCCTAGGTGCTGTACTGTCGCAACAACAAAGGCCAATAACTTTTTTCAGCCAAGCATTATCAGCCCGAGCTCGGCTTAAATCCATTTATGAGAGGGAACTCATGGCTATAGTCTTAGCAATCCAGAAGTGGAGACCTTATTTGCTGGGAAGGCATTTTATAGTACGCACCGATCAGAAGAACCTGAAATTTTTGTTGGAGCAACGATTGGTTAGTACTGAACATCAAAAATGGGTTACTAAACTGCTGGGATATGATTTTGAGATCCAATATAGGCCTGGCCTTGAGAATAAGGCGGCAGATGCGTTATCTAGACTTCCAGCAACAGCAGAACTATCCATTTTGACCGTGACTAAGGTACTGGACGTGGCTGAGATACAGAACCAGGTAAGAGCTGATGAGAGGCTATCTGGGATTAGGGAAGCTCTACTTATAGACCCCTTGTCCATCGAGGGTTGGTCACTAGTTGATGATTGTCTTTTATACAAAAGGAGGCTGGTTGTACCTAAGGAGTCAGATATAATACCCAGATTACTCCAAGAATTTCACAGCAGTGCTCTGGGAGGCCACTCAGGGGTCTTGAAAACTTATAAACGAGTCTCCAAGGAGCTTTTTTGGACAGGGATGAAAAAAGACGTCCAGAAGTTTGTGGAGTCATGTTCAGTTTGCCAACAGAACAAGTACTTGGCCCTGTCACCAGCAGGGTTATTACAACCCTTACCTATACCGGAGGCAATATGGGAAGACATAAGCATGGATTTTATTCAAGGGCTGCCAAAATCCCGAGGGTGGGATACAATATTGGTAGTGGTAGATCGCTTGAGCAAGTACGCTCATTTCATGACATTGAAACATCCTTTCACTGCGAAGACCGTGGCTGATTCCTTCATACAAGGAGTAGTGAAACTACATGGATTTCCTCGATCAATCGTGTCAGATAGGGACAAGGTTTTCCTAAGCCTATTCTGGTCCGAACTATTTAGACTCTAGGGCACCCAACTGAAAAGAAGCACAACCTATCATCCCCAAACGGATGGGCAAACGGAGGTGGTGAATCGCTGCTTGGTAACGTACTTAAGATGCTTTGCTAACAGCCATCCCCGATCTTGGTCTGAATGGATTCCTTGGGCTGAGTTTTGGTATAATTCTTCATTTCACACATCGACCAAGGCTACACCATTCAAGATTGTATATGGGCGTGATCCTCCTCCGGTTATACGCTATGGGACCAGGCACACCCCGGTGGCTGACCTTGATCAACAGCTACAACAACGTGATGGGATGTTAGCGGTTCTGAAACTACAGCTGGAAAAGGCTCAATCCAGGATGAAGAAGGAGGCAGACAATGGGAGGAGAGCTGTCCAGTTTCAAGAAGGGGATTGGGTGTATCTTAAACTTCAGCCTTATCGCCAGAAGTCCTTAGCTAAGCGTGCTAATGAAAAATTGTCTCCTCGGTACTTTGGTCCCTATGCAGTTCTTAAAAAAATAGGAGCAGTGGCGTATAGACTCCAATTGCCGACCGAATCAAATATTCATCCAATATTTCACGTTTCACAATTAAAGAAGGCTGTAGGTTCTACATCTCCTATCCAGCCCATTCCCCCAATCCTCAGTCCTGAGCTGGAGTGGAAGGTACAGCCTGCTGAAGTGCTGGGAGTCAAACCAACAAGCCAGCTAGGCATGGTTGGTCGAGAAGTATTAATTCAGTGGAAAGACCTTCCCCCCTTTGAAGCGTCGTGAGAGCCATTCGAACTGATCAATTCTCAGTTTCCAGAATTCCACCTTGGGGACAAGGTGCTTTTGTTGGCAGGGGGTATTGATAAACCCCCCGTGAATTTCACCTATCAGCAACGTCACAAGAAGGGCGTGTAGAGGAAGTTAGAGGGAATATTCTAGAAATGTTAACGTCGTTACAAGAGGTCAGTTGGTATATATAAATAGTGAAGGATAGATAGGGGATATTCATTAAGAAAACTAGCAATCTGAGCCGATAGGAGAGGGAGCAGCTCTCAAAACCTGCTTGTTAATTTCTCTTTTCTTTCGATCTTAGAGTCTGTAATTCTCAGTTTTAATAAAAGTTCCTATTAATTCCATTATTGTGTGAGTCGACTTATCAGTTAATCGAGCATTATTTCACCTGGGCAATTCGGATTCAGCAGGTTCTATCACAACGGAAGGAGGATAATTTTGTTAATAGGTTGAAGTCGATGATATGGGCTGAGGGCAAGATGTTAAAGCTTCAGGAGATGGGCCATATCTTGGAGTGGGCCAGAAAAGTTAAGGATAGAAATGAACCAATAATTCAAGCCCAAGCAAATTATAAGATTAATACATATACTTCAATCCAAACTCTGACTTCAGGAGTTCTTTTGGGGGGCCAACTGATTATGGAATTTGTATGGATAACATTATATTGGTGGGTGGACAACTGGCTACACAAACTAACAGTTGCCACAAGCTTACTCCAAACATGGATCACCACCGATATGTAATTCTGAATTTTGAAATTGAGCTAACCTTCCACTTTGAGGGCAAGGTGGATTTTGGGGCGGCGGGTATTGATAGGCTCATATCCACTCGCACCCATTCTAGAAGGTCCCAAAAGAAGAAAAAACGTGCAAGTGGGTGGAAATACCAGAATCTGTTAGAGAGGAGGGAAGGGTTTGTTAGAAGTTGGCTATAAATATAGGTAGAAATTAGCCATATGGGAGAGGATGGAGAGAGTATTGGAGTGGTTACTGTTCTTGTTCTCAGCTACAGCCTTCTATAGGCTTTTGTTATCATTTCAATTCCTGTAATTGTTTTTATTTCAATAAAAAGTCCTTTATTCAGCATTTGTTCTTGTTCATTCCAGTCGGTATCCTATCAGAGGCCGACCCAAAAGTCTAGGGGTTATGAATTCCCATTCTTGGAGAGGAAGAGTCCATTCGTGTTGATTAAGTTGCAAAGACTCGTCTGTGGGGAGAAAGGGAGTTATCACGACTTAAAATATTGTAAATTATGTTATAGTGAAATTAAAATTTAGTATCTACCTAATAGTGCCAGATGCGATAAAAAACTTGAAGAGCCTGATTGTGTTTGGTTGTGCTTACGAGTAACTTTTATTTTTAATATATATTTAGATAAGTTACACTTCTCTAATTTTTCTAAAAACATTTCTTTTTAGTGTCAAAATAAGTAACTTTTCAAAATCTAGCGAGGGGGTTTGTCTATGAACATTTTGATTTCCACCGATCAAAAAGTTACTTATTTTCTTAATAAGCTCTGTTTGTCTACCATTGGATAAGCAAGGTGAGAATGGAGGGAACTTTAATGAGAGTAGAGGAGAGAGCTTGCAGAAAAGCTGAGGAGAAGAGGCAGGCTAGATTAGAGAAGGAGCTACCGGAGGAGGAGGAAAGAAAGCAGAGAGAAGTTGCTAGGTTGGTTGAAGAATGTAGGAGATTGCGGGACCAGAAGTTGGACAAAAAAGATTGTGGAAAAGTTTCCCCTTCTGATATGGATAGAAATAGGAAAAAAGAAGCTGAAAAGAAGCATCAGTAGAGAAAGATAGAAAGAGATGGGGGATCAAGCAAAAGCAACTCTGATGCCAAGGAACCACAAAGGAGAGTTGGCAAGGGAAGTGCGCGCAACAAGAAAATAGTTGGTGACAAATGCGAACAATGCAGAGCTGAATCTGAAAATGTGAAGTCTCATAGTGTAGAAGTGGGTCATGGATTTAAATGTGCTACCATGAGCAGCCATAACCGAGGAACAGCTGGAACAAGATACCTGGATTGTATGAAGAGCACCTTTTTATCTTCTTCTAGAGCATATAGTGGAAATGGTTTTTTGGGAAGAAGTGCTAATATTTCTTCTGTTTCAAGCGAACACAGACCTAATGCATCTGTAGATAATGTTCAAGGTTCTGCATATAGGAGAAATGTCTTCCCGCCAAAATGGGTATCAGGGAGATCAAATGTAAATGGAGATGATAAAAATGCCTATCGTCCTGTAAGTTATTTATTGTCTTTAATTGATCTTGTTTGCATATCTTTGTTGTGGATTGGGTTGGCTGTTAATTGTGTTTATTAGCTAACTGAAGATGGCTGATAGGTAAGGAAGCCAGTTTTCCATACGTGGCCATTATGGATATTGTAACCTGATGTTGGTA